AAATTGCTGTTTATGACCTCCAACAGCTCCAATAGGTTAACAAGAGTGTTTAAAAGCCTGCTTTTTTCCTGTCATAATTTTAATTTTTATTAAAATATATGGCCATAGACAAAAAAGTTGAAAATACAGAATATAAATCTGTGTATTTGTACCTATGACTAAGCTAGCTAGATTACTGACTTTCACTGTCATGACCTAAAATTTGGCCATGATTTTGGATGCTTCCTGATCCTGGTCATTTAGAAAGTATCACACAGTTGCCAATCCAGATTTATCTTGACCAGGGTTAGGAGATTAAATCAGTATAATTTTAAATATTGCATCATACATGATAACAAGATACAAATATTTCAAATTCACACTAAGCAACGTGGTATTGTCTACATAAAAATTACATGTACATTCATGTCCCCAATACTTCTCTAAGGTCATCATAAGCATTACTTATACATTTTTACACAGATATTGAACAACCAAGGTGGTCTCATACATCCTAGTCTAATTCCTGCTCAATGTCAAGCCATTTCTTTATTCTCATGCATGCTTTATATTGCATTCTTACCACATTCAGTAATCAATTTACAGCTGTGCAGTGTTCTGTAATTCAAGCCTATTCACTTTATCATATCCTTTTTCAAAACCACAAAATGTGCAATAAAATTTATTTCTCAGTTACTTGCTAAAGATCAAAAATATGATCTGTATATTTCTTTTTTGGCATAAAGTCATATTAAATATCTCAGATTTAGGTCATTGTTGCCTCTTGTGTCCTTTCAATCAAAATTATAAATTTTTCCAGGCATACTTACCAAGCTGTTCTATTTGTTTGTTTGTTTATTTACTGTAGTTTGTTTATTTACTGTACATAAGAGTTACTTGGGCAGCTTACAGAAGCAGAATAATTAAAACTATATTACAATATAAAAACATTGTGTTGGAGCCCAACCTCTGGGAACCTCTCTCTATATGCTATACCCACAGAGAGAGGTTCCCTGCGGGTGGGCTCCAGCACAAGTCCAAAAGCTTGTAAGATTAAATCTCTGGTCACGGTGACCAACTCAGATTGGATCCTGCATGGATGACATGCTTAGTTTGACATGTATGTCTGTGTATTTATGTGTTTGAAAAATTAGATAATAATCTTTCAAGCTCAGCTCCATTCATTTCACAAACATATCCAAGTAATATAATACAGGTACTTCCTTCAGATTAGTTTTGATGGGGGTTTTTTGTTCATTTTTTTCTTTCCCAAATCCTTAACTTTAGGGATTGGTAGTCTCCCATCAGTGGTGGGATTCATTTTTTTTTACTACCGGCTTGGTGGGCGTGTCATGGCTTGGTGGGCATGGTAGGGGAAGGATACTGTAAAATCTCCATTCCCTCCCCACTACAGGGGAAGGATATTGTAAAATCTTCATTCCCTCCCCACTTTCAGGGAAGGTTACTGCAAAATCCCCATTTCCTCCTGATTAGCTGGGAGCTGGGAGGCAGAGAATAAATGGGGGCAGTGCCTGTCAGGTGGTATTTACCGGTTCTCTGAACTACTCAAAATTTCCGCTACCGGTTCTCCAGAATTGGCCAGAACCTGCTGAATACCACCTTTGATCTACATACTTCTCAGACGTACCTTTTACTTAGTTATTTAATATAACCAAGAACAGCAAGGTGTTGCCACCTAGCTGGGCTTAATTTATGTACATGATAACAATTTTGTAACTATTAGCCTACCTTTTAAATTGCAGATATTGTAAATTGGTTTTAAGCTGGTATGTTTGTTAATAATTATTTTTAGCAGTAAAAAAAACAAAAACTATAGAATAATCTACTATTACTGATTTCATAACACTAAGCAAAAGTGCTTTTCTTCCTCCTCCCCATCTTGTATACATAGGTCTCCTAACTAGGCCCACCTAGTTTTGGCTTTTATCAGCTTGCTAGGACAAACATCTCCATATTTGATTTTAGTTAAAGGAGATGGGAAAACAATAGGATAACATTCTATTTTGTTACTAGTAGTTCCAGTTTTTAATATTGTTTTAATGTTTTGATATTTTAAGGAAGTAACCTATACATCTACTAAGAGAAGTGATAATTGAAGGCTGGTTAAATGGTTAAATTGGGTTTCCCCCATTGAATAGCCTTAGGTCAGAGCATCAAGTATTACGTAGCATGTCAAAAACAAAAGCATTACATTCCTTCAGAGCATCTCATACAGATTATTAACATTTCCTTCTTTTACATACTTCAGCTTTTACAGCCCACATGAGGTTGAGGGGTTTCTGACTTAAGGATAGAGTAAATGTCTATTTGTATGAGAACAAGCCACTACAAATGATTAGCAATAAACTTTCAACAGCGAAACTTATAAAAATCTAAGAAGTTGACACTCTTTACTTGGTCCAAATGGTTGCGTGATTTAATTTAAATTACTTGGCTCAATCATTTGGATGGAATGTATGCTGCTCTTTACAATATTTAGAACCAAAAATTGTTATCTTTGTATACCATCATGCATGACTTAGGAGGCAATATTAAAATTACTCTCAAGGGTCATTCAGGAATTTTTGATCTCTCTCAACCCCTGCTCATGGTATTTTTTCAATTAGGCCAAAGTGCTCTGATTCCTTTCATTCCTAGATCCAGACATAGCAAGGAAGGGAGGTTTTGATGGAAAAAAGGATACCACTTTGCTTAGTCTACTATGGCTTGCATAAGAAAGAAAATGGTACTTCAAAACTGGAACAACTCACAAACATACCAGGAGCTATCAGAGGTATGTTTTGAATATGAGATGAAGGCAATGTTATGACATGGCAGAAAAGTGGTTGCCAAGACATATGAGCCATGGTGGCTGAGTGGTTAGAGTGCAGTACTGCAGGCTACTTCTGCTGCCTGCTGGCTGCCTGCAATTTAGCAGTTCAAATCTCACCATATCAAAGTTGACTCAGGCTTCCATCCTTCCGAGATGGGTAAAATGAGGACCCAAATTGCTTGGGGGCAATATGCTGACTCTGTAAACATCTTAAAGAGGGCTGTAAAGCACTGTGAAGTGGTATATAAGTCTAAGTGCTATTGCTGCATTCAGGCCATGGTTTGATGCCTGGAGAAATCAATTACTCCCCCCCCCCACTACTTCAGAAACAGAAAAGTAACTTTTAAGCAATGCTATGGGGCATAGTGAGTCATGGGATTTTTTTCTTTTTTATACTGTGAGAACTATTCACTGTTTAAAATCATGTCATTATCATCTTTCACCATCCCACTCTTGACTATTTCAATGTGATTATTCTGTTAATTATAGGAACCAAACAGTGGTTTGATTTGGTAAGTATAGGATTGGACTGTCTGTGTGACTAGAGCAATACAAAATAAACTGAAGAGCACATTAGCCCTGATATCTTTTCAACTTGAATTACTAATGCACTTTCTACACCTGGGAAGTGTGTCCTAGACTAGAAAGCAGATTGAAGAGTAGCTAAAATAAACTAGGTCTTTAAAAAAGGAGCTATTGTGATCAAAACTCTGCATTCTTGTTATCTCAAGCACTATTCTGCACCTGCAATTAATTGCAGGAATTTTTGCTTATAAGTACACACTAAATTGCAGCTGCCAAAATAGGACAAGATTCAAGTGCTTTGTAGATAGTAAGAGTAATACATGTTTTATGCATAAATACATCAAAGTTAATTCTATGCTTCTCAGGCTTTTGGAAAAGCTATTATAATGTAATCATTCTTAAATGTAGTTCAGCTATCTTTTTGATTCAGCATAACTCAGAGGTGCTCTTCATCATATGAATAATTGGCAATATCAGTATGAGATCTTAGAAAGCTTTTTAAAGCCAAATCGGTATGACCAAGAACAGGAATGATATACAGTATTTGTTATACTAAATGAAACATCTTGCTGCACTGCTCTAAGTTGTTTCTTCCTGGAAATTTACCAGGCAGGAGAAAAATGGCTTCAAGCCAAGAAGTGTAACAAAGTAAGGAAAAGTACGTTTTTACTTCTTCTGACCATATATTACTTGATTAAATGTGCAGATGTTCATTTCACTATAACATGGCCACACCTGGTTTAATTACAGGATAAATACAAAAGGAAGAGTAAAAAAAATATTCATTAGTTCTATACAATGAACTATTATGCTATGAACAAATGCAAAGAAAAAACTTTGCACACCAAGGGTCTAGAGGAGGTGTCAAAACTTGTGGCCCGTTGGCCAGATGCATCATGTGCTGCCCCTGCCCCCATCCGGTTTAGCGAAGGGGGGAAAGTCCTGATACGCCACGTGATGACACAAGTTTGACACTCCTGGTCTAGAAATACCACACAATGTATGAGAAGATTAAGCAACCAAATCTTTACAGATGGGATACAGCCTGTTCATCACATACTGTTTTTTAACAGCTATATTCTTATAATTTTCTGTGTAAAAGGTGATACATCAGCTGCTACTAATGCTTCTGTCTCAATCCAAAGGTTTATTATTCACTTTCCAATTCTAGGTCTGCACCCCATAAACAGTCTCTCCACTCTGCTATGAATCTCCCCTTTTCTCTTATTTTACCACCTTAGCTACTGAGCCATGATTCAGAATCTGACTCTTGATCTTGAATCTTGGGAAATCAGAATTCAAATGAGACTGCTAAACACAGGCATTTCCTGTTCAGCTGGACCCAATCAGATGATGAGGAACAACTTTCAGGCCTAGACATATACCAAGGCAAGCAGAGCAGCACTCCTCGGTGAAGACCCTTGCTGGGCAGGGGATGAGTAATTGCAGCCGGTTGTCTGCAGAGACATATTTAGGTAGCTGCTTTGCTTGCAGCCTTTGTTGGAAACAACTATTTAAAATCCTAGTTGCAGCTGTTGTTTCTGTTTGTTTGTCACTCTTTGATTCTTGGACTAGCTGACAACTTGATTTGACTATGTCAGTCTTAGAACATATTTGAATTAAACTATCGCTTCTTTGACTGTAATTAGCATTTTGCAAGCAAGCACTTTCTGCTAGGCATTTGAATTACATTGTCTGCTGTTAAATCAGCTTCTGAGTACTGTGTCTGTGTGTGACCTGAAACAGAACAACTTCCCAATTCCATGTACTCCTGCCTCAAACCATTTACATCTAATGCTTTCCACAATGCTCTTCTCACTTTCTATTAACCACCCATACATTCCAAAAACAAAATCCTGAAATAGCATCTATAAAACTAACCCAGACAAAACTAGCTATACTAAACTACCTACCTGAGCATCAAATTTTTAAAAATACATGGATTTTCTGGAATCTGTCTCATGTGGATAGAAATTATGTCCATTGGACAGGCATCAAAACATGTGGCTTTGTTCTCTGCATCATCAAAATCTATACAAATATTTCAAATTGCTATTTTCTTTATGCAAAATAATTGGAAAGGAAATGGTGGCAGTATCCACAATCATCTGAATTTTACACTTAATTTTGCATGTAACTAATTGGGATTTAAATACACAAAACAAGAGGCTGATCAAGTGCATTCAAATTGCTATCACCTATATAGCAAAATCTGGTATTTTAATGATGATCAAATATTACTCAAATACTGCAGTTATTAACATCAAATTGCAAGCTTTGGTCTAAAAAAATTGAAAACTTCACTTTGGTTGAATACAGTCTAAAATAGATGTTCCAAATGTTTATTACTCCTTTACTGTTAAAATGAATAATTGTGTGGCAAGATGACTATGGAAACATCTTTGACAGCACTAGCTCAATGGCCTTGAAATGGAGATAAGCAGAGCCCTCTGTAGTCCGCTACGACTAGCAGAGTAAAATCAATTCACAGGGCTCCTTTACCTTTTCATTGTTAAAAGAGGTCAACTTAACTACAGTGCCAATCATGATACAAATACTGCCACTTATGTTCTAGTGAGATGTTATTATGTCAGTACTTAATGGCAGATTTGTGACATGAAGTGATAGTGTATTTTTGCACCACTGAAGCTTGTTGCTGACACCATTTGTTGTAATAATATAGCTATCATAAACTATCTTAACACTTCATTTGTTTCTACTTATTAAAGTGCACTAAAGACAACTGGAATTAAGTCATTTTAAGGGCTTCCTTCTGATAGATTCTATGATTCAGTAGATCATATCTACTAGTGAACTCAACAAAATCTTCAGATACCAAATTCCAAGGGTAATTGGGCTTGACCATGAACTATAGCAGTAAGCCAGCTTCTTTCTTATATAACTACTGGTAATCCTTGACCATGCTGTTACAACAGCACTGAAAAAAGTGACTTACAACTACCAATGGACCATTACGACCATTGCAGCATCCCCATGGCCATGCGATTGACATCTGGATGCTTGATAGCTGGTTCATATTTACAATGGTTGCAATGTCCTCAGATCATGTGATAATCTTGAGACTTTCTGACAAAGTCATTGGGGAAACCAGAGTCACAACTGGGTTTCTAATTTAACTGCAATGATTCACTTAACAAAATGTGACCAGAAAAGTTGTAAAACGGGAAAAAACTCACTTAGCAACATATATTCTGGCCTCAATCGTGGAGATAAGTTGAGGACTACTTGTATACAGTATATATTGCCTCAACTCCTGGAGAAGATGGGTGGGTAGAGGTTTGCCACTATGCAATGATTTGGGTCCATTTGACATTGTGAGAAAGCATATTCTTGGCTGAGGATGAAAAGCTGAGCAACTGTATTTGGAGGAGAAAGTTCTTTGTTATGATTCTTTTCTAGGTATTACTTGCAACACTGTCATTCAAGCAACATTTTAAAGCCATACATTTAGAAACAAGTTACTTAAAGGTACTGGGATGTGACCTGTTAATCAGGTTAGTTCTTTTGCCATTTGTCAGGAGTGAGATATACTGACACTAACCACCAGGCAGATTTAATTTCAGTTATGCCTAAGGAAAAGTTTGTTTTCCATTGGGCTTCTTCCAAACTCAGAAATGAGATGAGCAATGAATATTATCAGGACAACTCTTCACTTTTGACTTTTTTGGTCTGTTCACTTGATTCATATTGTGGATCTTTCCTCTTATTTTTCTGCTGCTGAAGTCTCTCTTCTTTCTTTTTTAGATAAATGGACATATTATCAAAAGAAGCCTTGTAGAGATTTTGGAAGCAGCTCTCTTTGTCCATAGCACCTGCAGAATGTAGAGTAAGTTAGAATTTTAAGTAATAATTACTTTATAGTGCCTGGCAAATTAGTAAATATTTATAAGTAGGGATTTTGTTTATGCCTAAAATGAGAACAGATACTTAAGTCCTTATAAACCTACCTCCAACCAAGGAGAGAGAAAAACTCTTCCAATTTCAGCTACGCAAAGTTTTTGCTTTTCCCACATTTGCTACTTGGCAGCAATCATTTTATCAAATTAGCCAAGTTGTTTCCATCCCATTGGTTTATGACAAGTAAAACTTTGGCCCATGCTGGTTAATGATAAGCATATCCAAACTATTAGCAAAAGAACAAATCAGCACATTTGGACTAGAAACTCTCCAAATTTCTTGCCCTTTTAGTTGGTGCAGCGCACTATTAAGATAGCTAATCCTCCCAGTCACTTGTCAAAGAAAAAGGAGGATAGATTCAATTAGTTAACTAAAGTACATATTAGGAAGGAGAGACAAAGTCTAATATACAAACAATGAGGAGAGGTGTCCAATAGCGGTCAATGTGACATCACATGCACTGTGATATTGTTGTGGAAAGGGCACAAATTATGTAATTTATAACAGTGACAAATAATATAATGTATGTCATTTGCATAAAGACATTTATTGGGTTATTTACTCTCTCCAAATGTCCATGAGGAAAATAGTAAATTCAGTTGTTATCAGTAGCTATTAACAATCTACTTTTTTTTAATAAAAAAAACACATTTCTGATTCCTTTAGAGCAGGGCTAATGAGGAATGACTAGCCTGCAGCTTCTGGGTCATATGCAGCTTAAATATTCCCACTTTACTGAAAACAGTCAAAAATCTAAAAATTGAAAGAAAACTGTAATGCTAAAATTATAAACTCCCAAAATAAGCATTTTAAAAACCAAAGGTTTCTCCCAAACTATGTTTTACTCATAAATGTTGTGAATCTATCACATGGTTGCCCCAACCTCTCCTAAAACATTAAGGGTGCCAATAGGCATCAAAGAGCTTGTTTACCATTATTTGAGAGATTAATTGCTTAACTGTGAAGGATTAAAAACTGATCAATATACATGGTAATTCTATGACAATTTCTCTTTTCTCCGATGTTTTTTGTCAAAATAAGAATTTGCTTGATTCCTCACCATACAATGTCATAGGAGTGTACTTCTCATTCTGGCAAAGATCAATACCCATTAGAGGTTTATGGTAAGTATCACGTAGTTCAAATTTAACTGACAAGATGAATTTAAGGATGCTATTAACTGATACTTTCCTCAATTACTGAGCAGATCTAAAAACAGCTACCATTAGGATTGCAATACTTATCTGCCTCAGCAAACAAAATAATCACCAGCTCTACATATCTATTAGTCTTTCTATCTGACTGCACAAAATTAACTCTGTGGTAGATTTTTTTATTTCAGCAACTGTTCTAAAAATGGTTGAAATATTCATTCCCATCCATCTTACTCATTTTCAATATGTTATATCAAAAGAGATTTGTTCCACTTTAGAAGGGGAAGAGGGAAAAAGGCTATTAAAATGCTGGTAACAAAAATATATAGGTGCCATCATTTTCATAGGAGCAGCAACACTAATTAGGTATTAAGAGCAGGACTTATTAACCAGATGTTAATTATCTTCAATAATCACTGTCGTTTTAATAGTCCCCTTTCTTCATCTGCTGATACAGTTAAGTTCTGTGCACAGCATTCTACTTCTTAGCAGGAGGGGGTAAATCTAATGACTCTGTTATATTCTTATGGTATTATGTTATTCTTCTGTGGTATCGGTAAGTTGGGTATTTTAACACTTGATCCCTGTGGTTTAAAGCAGTGTTTCTTAATCTTGGCAACTTGAAGATGGGTGGACTTCAACTCCCAGAACTCCTCAGCCAGCTGCAGCCCACCTGTCTTCAGAGTCAGCAAGGTTGAGAAACACTAAGCAATGAGGTTTCCAGATAACTTCTCCCACCTCCAAGAACCAATGCTCATGCAGAAACCAAAGCTAAAACTAAAACCAGCTTCAGCGATGGATTCTCCAAATCGTAGTCAGACCCTCCATGTAAAGTATTTGTTTGGTCTGTTAAACTCATATTTCCTACCTTCAAATATTCTCCAATAGTTACATATGTACTTGGACATTTTCACTAATTCTTTCTTGTCAATAACAGGCTGAAAACAAAACAAAACAAATTGAACAACAATAGCTATTGAAAATTTCATAGGAAGCAGGGGGCTTTTCATACAGGTTGGCTTGTACTGAGAACAGCTCCCGTAATCTTTTGTTTTGCCTGACCTATTTCCATGTTTTCATAAAGTTATACAACAACAACAAAGAAGATATACTACTTTCAAATGAAAAATAAGTAAATTAGGTCAGTGCTTCTTTTTCCTTAACAGCAGATCTAGTTTTTAAATTTAGACTGCTGTGTATTGACCCACAATTACACTAGGTTTATAACTATGCACACATACACATAGGGTTCCCAGCTTGAGCTGCTATACTCCTTGTTTTCTTTTTCCCAAGTTTAACTGAGAAATCATCAAACCAAGGTGCAATATTCTAACAAACCAAAAGCCCTGCTGCCAACAAAATGGCAGGACAGATGTTACAAAAAAGTAACATTTACATGCTTCTGATCTTTTTCTTTTATATACCGCATACATAAATTTTAGTTATGATTTGAACCGAGCCGCTATCTCCCACTCAGCATGTTCAATTATAAATATATAATTGAAGATGCTGAGTGGGAGATAGCGGCTTAGTTCAATAGCCTAACAATACTCTAAATTTTAATCTGAGGGACCTATATTGAACTATATTTTCTTGTTTACAACTAGCAAAACAAACCACCATAGAAAAATCATTAAAGAGCTGAAGTATTACACTACGGAAATGCACAGTAAACCAACCATAGTAATTCAGCAATTGGCCAGAATCTTTTGCCCTAAACCACAGAATTAAAAATGCATGTAGCAGTCTATGATCATAAACATTCTCTCACCTGCCACTGTCCATCCTTGTGTTGGTAGAATAGAAGAGGTATTTGCTGATTTTCCTGCAGTACCCAGAGCCCACCTGTTTCCTCAAATGCAATGTCCCAACCTTTGTGGCTTAAGGTTATGTGCTGTTTAGAAATTAAGCTCTGAGTATCGGCGTCAAGCTGGAAGATGGATACTGCAGGAATACTTTTAGAAACAACCAACATTATGTTACTTTTATACATCATGTTTCCTACATCAAATACATCAAATGATTCCCACATGGTTAAGAAAATGATATGTGAAGTGTAGTAAAGGGGTCTCCAAACTCGACAACTTTAAGACTTGTAGACTCCAACTCCAAGAATTCCCCAGTCAGCATGGGAAACTGAAGCTCACAACTCTTAAAAGTTGACAGGTTTGAAGACCCTGGTATAGATTAATTCTCATCTAATCAGAAGTAACTCTTGTTGAACTTATTAAAGCTTATTCTTAGGTAAATAAATATACAACTGAAACTTTAGAATTTCTGCAAAATTAGATAAGTTATCTCTATTGTCGGCTGGCACTTGCAATATGGCCACCTTAAGGAACTCCTACAGTAATATTTCAAGGAATAATCTCCAATATTTGTTATGAAGTAGAAGTAATTTCACAATGTCAACATTCATTAGAAATCATCTATAAATTCTTATTATAATCCCTTAATTCAAATACGTTTCATATTATTCCTGTATTTCATCACCATATCTTAAGTCATTTGATCAACTGATTCCATAATACAGGTAGTCCTTGACTTATGACCAGAATTGAGCTCAACATTTCTATTGCTAAACAAGGAAAACAGTGGGGACTTAAAACGGGGAAAGTTAAATAGCAGTTGTTAACAATGGGAACTAAAAGTGAACATGGGTATTGTAACAGATCCCTGAATTTTGTAATGAGAAGATGTGGCTTAGAGACCTAACAATGAGGAAAGAAAAACAAAAAGTTAGGCTGTGAATGACTGTCACCGCGGGGGGGGGGGTGTTGTATGTTTAAAATTGTATTTGTACTTGTATGTTTTACTCTTTAAAAAATGTATAACTAATAAAGATTACTTTAAAAAAAACAAGACCATTTATTAAGTGAGCTTTGCCTCATTTTACAACCATTAACCAGTTGTTAAGTGAATCATTGCAATTAAGTTAGTAACATAGTTGTCAAGTGAATCTGGCTTCTTCATAAACTTTGTCAGAAGGGCACAAAAAGTGATCACATGATCAAGGGATACGGCAACTTTCACATGATTGTAGGCATGCTGTAATGGTCATAAATATAAAAACTGTTCACTAAACAAATGGTTGTAAGTTGACGACTACCTATTAAATATAAACTTTACAGAAATCAGGCATAGCTTGTAATGAAATAATGTAACTGTCTGCTACCTCTACAGTAATTATATTTTTCCTCTTACCAGTCATATAAAATGGCAATGTAATTTCCTTCACAACAATAAACTATTCTTGACACAGCATATTTCTGAGGAGGAAAAGAAATGTAAACGTAATTGGCAAGAGCTAATTTTTTAATGTGTGGGAAGAAATAGAAGAACAGTAGTAAAAGAAACCTTGGATCAAAAACATACACATCAAGGGTTTTTTTTAATAACAAAGACAAGCTGTCTCTTATTCAGTCTACCCTGATTTCTGTTCTGAGCAAAGACAGCAAGATGAAAAACGCAAAACATCTAAGGGGGCAGAAGTTGGATAAATAGTTACTATGCAAAAAGAAAATGTTCTTGAATGATTGGTATAACCACTGCACAATTGTTTAGTTACAATTTTTAGAATATCAGTACATCTGTCTACACAATGGAGGTTAGTACAACAGAGAGACAGAGTATCTGCTTGTCCATGTTCGTCTGGAATAATTTAGCATTCCCCAGACAAAATACTCTCATACTATCCTGAGATCAACCCAATAGCATTTATTTAAAATGAGTGAAAAATTAAAGTAAGCCTCCAATAACACGAAAAAACTTTTCTAAAGTTTTAAATATTAGTGTACTCATGTTGTGAAGTAATTGCATTCTACAATGGCTACTTCTCAAAATATTCTTTACCAAAAAACCTATATTTTATAGAATCAAATGTTGATTATCAGTAGCATAAACCTGCTCTCAAATTCATTCAAAAAAAGAAAACGTGTAAAAAAAGCAAAGAAAAATGGAAACATGCATGAAAAATGGAGCCAAGGTGGCGCAGTGGTTAAATGCAGCACTGCAGGCTACTGCTAGATCAGCAGGTCAGCGGTTCAAATCTCACCGGCTCAGGGTTGACTCAGCCTTCCATCCTTCCGAGGTGGGTAAAATGAGGACCCAGATTGTTGGGGGCAATATGCTGACTCTCTGTAAACCGCTTAGAGAGGCCTGAAAGGCCTATGAAGCGGTATATAAGTCTACTGCTATTGCTATTGCTATTGCTATTATAGAGAACATCCACCCAAAAGATAATTACCTTCTTATTCTTACCAGCTTCATTTATATTCAAATTATTCAATTGAAAGCAATGTAGTTCTTTCCCACTTTTATACTTCCAGAGCCTCAATGTATCATCCTAGGAAATTCAAGAGATAAGCTAATTATTATTTTTGCCAAAGGAAAGGCGCAGTGGTTAGAGTGCAGCACTGCAGGCTACTTCAGCTGACTGCAGTTCAGCTGTTCAAATCTCACCGGCTCAAGGTTGACTCAGCCTTCCATCCTTCCGAGGTGGGTAAAATGAGGACCTGGATTGTTGGGGGCAATATGCTGACTCTGTAAACCGCTTAGAGAGGGCTTAACCATATGAGTGGTTAAACAAGCTATAATGGCTGGGTCCACACCTAACCTTAAGCTTAGGTCATGATGTGTAAATTACCACAATGTGCAAAATACAATTTGATGAGCAAAAAACCAAAAAAGCACATTGTGAGTTAGCATAATTATAAATTCAATCAATGGTTTAAAATCCCTCTTAGATGCATGCATATACAGTATATCTCATGGATATTGAGCAATGGATATTCATAATTTCTGATGATTTCTAATCATTACTATATTTCATATTGAGTTTAAGTAGATATTAATAATGAATAATGTGGTGTAAAACACATGGGAGAATGAAAATTCCCTACAATGTTAATCATTCTTTATGTTTCAGCCAAAAACATGAGAGACAGCAAGAGAAATTGAATCTTTTACTTATTAGAGGAAAGAAAAAATGCATTTTTAAGCATTTATTAACATTCTAGATGTATAGAATCCCAGATAATCTACATACCCCGGAGGCAGATAAAAGAAGGTCAGGAAGGTTTGGCAGTACCAATATTGTGCTGACAAATCTAGAAAGAAAAAAATAAATTGAAACAAAAGCAATAAAGAGTAAAATTATATGTATATACAGCTGTGCAAGAAATTTTCTACCTAGACTGATCTCTTTCCTTGTATTTATACAAAAATCTGCATATAAAAAGTTTGTCCCAATTTTTTTTTCTTTTTATTAAATTAGTTTTTAAAATAGTCCAGCAATCTATTCAGGTTCTTGAAATACATTCTTCTCCAATTTTTACATAACAGTGACAAATAAAAGGTGGTGGTGGGGAACCTAGAATAAGGGTAATGTATAACTGTAAAGTGAATTGCAGACCTCCATTTTCATGATCATGATCAAGCTGACGTATTGGGACTTCAAGCTGATGTATTGGGACTTCAAGTATCATACTAATGTAGATTTCTATATTACAGCTATAAGTAGCAATCTCGTAGTGAAGTGTTTCTTCGAACATTAAGACTACTAATTTATTACCACTAGAAACAAGGCATGACTATATATGCTGAGGGTGCACAAAATGCTGTTACCTTTCCACTGAAGTGGTACCTATTTATCTACTTGCATTTGCATGATTTCAAATTGCGAGGTTAGCAGAAATGAGAAGTCTCAATTCTTTTCCTTCATTGGGGACTAAGACTATCAGCATATATGCAGAAAGGATGTGCATGCACTCACATGCACAAAAAATAAAATAATAATTATTTTAAATACTCAAGATTTTTTTAACAAATGGTTTTTAGGCTAGGGAATGTTCTAATGGATGACATGTTAGCTACATTTTGACAATAACAACATAAGCTTTTCTGAAAATCTGAATTCCCTCAGCATCCAACTCATTTATTTCTTCCCAAATCAGAGCTAGAATGGATTCTTTAAAAATCATCCAAGGAAATGAACATTTATTATTCTTAAGTAGTCTAAAGCATTTCTGATCCCAAGAGATTGATTAGAATACTAGCTGTTATTAAACTTGAGCTTAAATATGGCTTCCTTCTTCTTGTTTCCTTATGTTAGCAAAGAGGAGGAGTTGCCTTTCAATCACATTGGAAACAGGTTTTTTTTTTGGTTACTCACTCTCTGTGACCCAGGCAAAAGGATACTATAACATGTGGTGCTTTAGTCAAACTAACTCGGATCTTCTCATCTCGATCAGCTGTTACAATATATTGGTCATCAGGACTCAATGTCTAACAATAATAGAGCAATAGAAATATGATGAATGGTATGTTCAGGCATAATCATCCACCCACCAATGGTATAATTTGTATGACTTCAAACTGATAATCTGAGGAAGACTGGGAGGAATAATTAAAAATTACCAGTGTACAACGTTTTACAAACCTGTTTACATATATTTGCATTTGTCTTAATAATTGTTAATATATAGAAAGTCATCTAATTTGTTAGTCTCATTTGACAGAGATTTGACACATTAAGTAACTATGCAGTACACACTACTTCTCAGCCCAAATTACCTCCTAGGAGTGATTCTGGGAGGAAAAAAAATAAGACTTATTCTTTTTTATCAAATTATTTATCAAATTTCAAAACTGCCTATTATCTCCCTCTGAGTGACTTTGGTCTGTGTAGAGATGAAATATCAAACCATAAAAAAACAGTATATACATTTTTTTAAAAAAAGCATGGATGAATTAAAAATCAGTGTCAAAGTTAATTAAAAGGCAGGGAGAGAGCTTTTCGGGACACTAACCAGCCTCATGCCTGCATGCAGCTACGTGAGTCCCAAACAAGATTTCAGAAAAAGTTTTTACACCTTTCCGGAAGGTCAGGAGAATGTTTCAGAGGACAGGGGCAATGGCACAAAAGGCCCTCTTCTTGGATCATGCCAGGTAGAATTCTTTATCTGACAGATCTGTAATATACCTTCTCTGCCTAATGAAGACGGACTTAAATTTGATTAGCTTTTAATAAAATATATTATTGGAAATATCCATTAAAAACTCATGTGTACCAAATTCAACAAAAGAGACAAGTGTCCAAGCTCAATTGTTCCTGCATTTTTTGGTTCTATTATTGAATAAGAATATACATCGCCAGATTTGTCAGCAACCAAAATTTTATCTTCTGCAGATGTTATTATCAGGGAGGTACATCTTCTCATGACAGGTCTGAAAAAAAAATAGACATAATTCAAAATTTTTGAATTTCAGAACCTAACATGGCCTACATGTGACCAATGAAAGCATAACAAATCTATAACATCCATAATCTCCTAGAATTCTACAAATGATTGGAAAAGATGCCCGAGACATCAGCTTGGAAGCAGCTGTATTAGATTCACGGCAAAAAACAACAACAAAAAAAAACCTTATGTCACAAGTATGTGAGGCTGGGCATAGTTTGGGAGATTTGCCAATGTCATGGAAAGTGATTATGAAGCCATTGGCTTATCCAAAGGAGCTTGCAGAGCAACCGAAAAATATTTCTAGGCTGTTCTTCAGCTGGAATGACAAAGGAAACATAAAACACAACAATAAAGCTAAGAAATAAATCCAAGCAGAACAGTAAATGTAATATAACAAGGTAAGGAAAGTGTGTTTGCGTGTGTGTGTGTACGTATGTATATGTACACACAAACACACACACACACAACCACACAGACTTGATTTTTGGCAATTGCCTGGACTAGTCCCTGCAGTTTTCTTGGATGTTTGCCCTTGCCTGCTTTCAAGGCTGAGAGAGTAAGTGACCCAAAGTCACTCAGGAGCGTTAATACTAAGAAATGTACAGTCTTTGGGTTTTAGCCTAGTGCCTTAACTGATACACCAAACTGGCTCCCTATGTAAAACATGCATAACAATTTCTGTTACTAATGCTTAGATTTATAAAGATATTTTAAAACATTTTCCTTCTCATACCTTATGCTCAGACATTTCCAGGAAGGCTTTGAGCAGAAAAGAATTAATTGTTTGTTGTCATCAGTCAGAACAAAATACTTCCCTGATGAAGAAAATGCACAGGCAAGGATATTATTTGTTTTGTCAAGTGGCTTTCCATCCTCACTAAAAAGACAAAAAACATGGAACAATTGATTCAAAAATAAACCATTTCAAGTACTTCAAATTATATTTTCTGAGATAATATTTTCAATTATTTTACAGAACATCCATTCTTTGATTGTGTAAAAACATTAAATGTCTATGGAGATTCTCAGTCAGCTAGGTCATGATTATCCCAAAGGTGCTTTTTCAAGAGGCAACTGGACTTTCTGGTTTTTCTTTGAAGACGTTTTGCTTCTCATCCAAGAAGCAATTGTAGTATATTTTTCTGGTATAATACCTAACTGAAGCTTCTTGGATGAGAAGTAAAACAAAAGTCTTCAAAAAAAAAAACAACCCCAGAAAGTCCAGTTGCCTCTTGAAAAAGCACCTTTGAGGTAAAAAAAATAAAGAAACAAGGGAAGCTGTTTCTTAGCATTTATTTTAATTATTTAATTTTACTTTGCATTTTAACTGCTATCATGGTAAAAAAGCCACTGCAGATTCTTTCCTCTTTTAGGCAATACTTATCGTATTTTTCAGAGTATAAGACGCACCGCAATATAAGACGCACCAAGGTTTTGAAGAGGCATTTTTTTAAAAAGTAGGTAGGTAGGTAGAGGGATAGACAGGGAGAGAGAGAGAGAAATACAGTAGATAGGTAGGGGGAGAGAGAGAGTAGTTAGTTAGTTAGTTAGGTAGGTAGGTAGAGAAAGGGATAGAGAGCAAAAGAGAGTGTATGTATGTATGTATGTATGTATGTATGTATGTATGTATGTATGTAGGTAGGTAGGTAGGTAGGTAGAGGGGTAGAGAGAAATAGAAAGAGAGAGAGAAATACAGTAGATAGGTAGGGATAGAGAGAGTAGGTAGGTTGGTAGGTAGGTAGGTAGGTAGGTAGAGGGGTAGAGAGAAATAGAAAGAGAGAGAGAAATACAGTAGATAGGTAGGGATAGAGAGAGTAGGTAGGTTGGTAGGTAGAGGGAGAGAGAGAGAGAGAGAGAGAGAGAGAGAAGTACAGTAGATAGGTAGGGAGAGAGAGAGAGTGTGTAAGTAGGTAGGTAGGGAGAGGGATAGAGAAAGAGAAATAGAGAGAGAGAGAGAAATACAGAAATACAGTAGATAGGTAGGGATAGAGAGAGTAGGTAGGTTGGTAGGTAGAGGGAGAGAGAGAGAGAGAGAGAGAGAGAGAGAGA